GTCATTGTGTTAAAAATTAACCCACACAACTATAAGAAACAGGTATCATTAGTCCCCTTAACAGATGAGAAAATGGAGACTAGCAGCTTATGTAAGTTATCCAGATATAAACAAATAATAGAAGGAAAATTGAGGATTTAAAAGCAGGTAGCTGGCTGTGAACAATTTCCCAATACAATAATATGCTGCCTTCAATCTAGCCTCATTATAATGTATTCATCACAGAGTTTCCAGAAAGCTTTATAAAATGCAAATCTGTTCATGTCACTTTCTTGTTTTAAACATTTCAATGGGAATTTTAATTCTGGTTAGGATTTAATAGGTAGTAGCAGGCCATTCTTTTCATTGTACCAGATAGGAAAAAATAAATAAAAAATAAAGAAAAGAAAAAGAAAACAGGTAAATTAAAGAAATAAATTTTTAAAGTCATCAGAGGACTATAGAAGCAAAGATTATCAAATTAAAAACTCTAGAGATGGTAGAATCCTTCTGAGATCAGCTGAGATTGCCAAATATTTTCTTCCCTCTGGGGATTTATCATGTCTGGGCATTTCTAAGAAACTCGCTTACCATAAACAGAGAGACTATTCTAAAGAGAAGTAAAATTAGAAAAGCTTTTGATGACTATGTGGGTTGGTGTGTAGATTGGAATTCAGAGAAATTCCATAACTATGGCCTGTGTTCCCCATAGGACACATTCTGAGTGCTGGGGTGCTGTGGGAGACTGTGGACTGAACTGAAGAAGCAAAGTAAGGTTTCCTGCAGTCTTGCAGTACTTAGGAGACAATATTCCTCAAAAGAGAGAGGCCTAAAACAGACATATGGAGTCGGAAATAGACTAAGTCTAACTAGAGCTATAACCCAGCACTGACCAAGCTCAGTTTCTAATTGGATTAACATAATCTGCTCCTCATGCTTTCTGTTGAAATAAGGAAAGAATGAACTGTCTCTGGGAGAAAATAACATTAATTTCAGTATCTATATATCTTTCATATATAATTTCTGTCATGCAATAAAAAAATTTACAAAAATTACAGGACTTAGAAAAAGGAAAATGTGACCAATAACCAAGGAAAAAATAGACATTAGAAACAGAACCAGGATCATCTAGATATTGATCAGCAGGTCAAGACTTTAAAATTACTATTATTAATATGTTAAAGAAAACAGAGAGAAAATTTGAACAAAATAGATAAAAACATGAGTAATTTCAACAGAATTAGAATCACATAAAAGAGATTCAAATGGCTTTCTAGAACTGAAAAAATACATATATAAAATCTAAAATTAGAAACTGATAACATGGGTTTAAAACAGACTGGCAAAAGATAGGATTAGTGAAAGCAAAGACAAGTCAATATAAAATATCCAAAATGAAGGCCAAAAAGGAAAATAGAAAAAGAAAAAGAAGAAGTAGAAACATAGGAAAAATCTGTGATACAATGAAAGTCTAACATGTATGTAATTGTAAACCCAGAAGGACAGGAGACTGGAAATTGAAAAGAAATAATATTTCAAAAGACAATGGCTGAGAATTGTCCAAAATGAAGGGGCATTAAAGAATTCCTATCAATCCCAAGCAGTGTAAATATAGAGAAAAGTGAAAAACAGGGATAAAGAAAAAAATCTTTAAAGCAGCCAGAAGAAAGATGTTACATTCAAAGCAGCAACAATAAATTAAGAGTTAGATTTTAAACAGGAACTATGGGAGTATGGAAACAATGGAATGTTATCTTTGAGGAGTTGAAAGAAAAAAAAAAAATCCCGCCGCCTAGAGTTTTAAACCCAGTGAAAATATCTTTCCAACTCAAAATGAAATAAATGAATTTTTCAGACACATAGAAGCTGAGAAAATAACTTACCAGCAGATCCACATTATAAAAAAATTGTACAAAGTCTTCAGACTGAAGGAAAATAATCTCAGAGGGAAATACAGTACCACAAGAAGAGATAAAGATCATAGGAAAGAATATTGCAATCACTAAAAGAACAATACAAAGAGATACAAAAACAAAAGAATTAATAAAAGAGATAAAATGGGATAATTTAGAATATTTGATTAAAGCATTTTAATAGTTCTTCATTTCTAGCAAAATAGATGCCAATGTCCTTAGTACACAGTAAACTAAGTGCTCCATGATCTAGCTCCCATTTACCTATCTAGCCTTAATTTTCCATCATGCCTTTTATAGAACCCAGCTATTGAGAACTACACGTAGCTTGCTTAGTACACCAGATTACTCCTACCACCCTACATTTGCATATACTATTCCTTTGCCAGAACTATCATCCCTATTTTTTTTAACTAATAACAATATTTAATATCCAGCTCAGACATAATCTGGTTCCTCTGAAAAACCACGTGGTCTCACAGTACCTAGTGCTTATCTCTATCATAGACCTTGCTATAAAATATAATTATTTGTTTCCTTGTTTATTTTCCTAACTAGTCTTTGAGATTTTGAAGGCTGGGCATATACATGTTAGCTCTGTGTTTCCAACATCCAGTACAGGGGCTAGCACATTTAACATCTACCTTAGGGAAGGCTAAATACATAAGTGAGCAAACATTATTTCAGTATGCAAAGCATGTTACAGTCCTCTTCCATCCTCCAGAACTTTACTTCTAAATAGCACACCAGTACCTGAAACTCAATGCATGCCAGACTCAACTCTCTTCATTGTGTCAAACTCAGTTAACCTGTTGCCATATGAAGTCAGCCATTGCAGCAAATTTAAAATCATTTGGACTTCTACCCTACTTTATCCCTGCTGTGTCTTTCCTGACATTAGTTCCTTCATCTTGACTTCTTTCTCTCCTCCCTCACCCTTTGAATGCCTACTCATTCTAAGTCCAGCTCAGACGTGACCTCTACTTTGAATTCCTTTCTATGCCTCAGCCAGAGTCAATATGGCTTTTTCCTTGGCTCTTCCACAGAACTTCATCTGTGGTATCATGTGTTGAGCATTCTGTTGTCCTCAATAGTTTGTATTTGTCTCTCCCTCAAGTTGGTGAAACTTTAGAAATAAAAAGGAAACTATTTTCACTTACAGAGAAGGCAAAGGAAGAAAAGCTGAAGAAAAAAAAGCAAAAGAGAGTAAACAACTTTTAAAAACAGTGAAAATTACAGGAACTTTTAAAGGTAAAGGGATGAAGAAGTACAAATTAGTGGTTACAAAATAGTCACAGGGATGTGGAGTACAGCACAGGAATATAGTCAGCATTACTATAATGGCTGTGTGTAGTGCCAGATGGGTACTAGAGTAATTGGGGGAATCACTTTATAAATCATATAAACACCTAACCATTGTGCTGTATACTTGAAACTAATGTAAAACAAAAGAAAGAAAGAGAGAGAGAGAGAGAGAGAGAGAGAGAGAGAGAGAAATCCAGGAGAACAAAATTATCTTTGAAAATATATTATTAGTCTTTTAGGTATTTTAGGTGTTTTCATTTAGCCATCAACTCACCTCCCCCAACACACACCCTCCCTACCCATTAGGAGAATTCATCTGTGGATGAAGGAGAATGCACAAGGCTCTTCACACATGGCTGAGGAGAGGCGTCTGAAGCCCTGACTGTTGACCTCCCCCACTTCCTGCTCTCCCGCTTCTGAATGCTCCCAGTCACCCATTTCTCTTGTCTCAGTTCTGACTCCTGTGTGCATGTTCTGTGTCTGAACTGTCTTCACACTTTATCTTAGCTCTCTGGAGCTCTTCTTAATGTCTGTTCCCTGATTCTCTTCCATCTGTGACTCAGGCGGACCAGGTAAGTATTCCTCACATTTATCTCTAAAGAGGAACCAACCTGGTGAAAAACAATAGAATGAAAGACAGAGAGCCCTGTCAGATTCCCTAAAGGTTATTGAGAGCCCTGAAGTTTATGGATTCCGGTTTTTAAAAGAAATGAGCAGAAACAATAGATGGCCCTCATGAGAGCAAATAAATGATTACAAATTTAGAAAAGAGAAACTTTAAGAAAAGGCAAAGGAAGCTGATAATAATTGGACTAGAAATTGTGGCGACAAGGAATGACAGCTATACCTTGCTCGTAAGTGAAATTAAAAAATATATATATATTGACCATCCGTTCGCCCTTTCTATGGGAGAAACCTCTTCAGGTGTGGACATAAAGAAATGCCTCCCTCCTACAGGGTTATTATTTCTCAAGGATGATGTCGAATCCCTATCTGGGAGAATTTGAAAAGTTTAGAAACCACAGACCTCGGAAGACGGTTCTGATCTTTTGACTGTTACAAGTTGAAATGTACTTTTCATTCATTATTTTAAATGAGTTCCCTGCTGTGTCCATATGCTTTCTGAGTGCCTCACTGAGAATCAGGTTGTGCTGCCTGCACTCCTGCGGGGCCTCTGTGTGAGGGTAGGATTTTTGGTACAGAAGTTATTCTTCAAACTCTTAGACTCAGAAAGCTACAGTCTGAAAAATAGAGCATTCTTTTACACATCTTGTTTCAAAATCTTGAGAGATTATTCATTTATGTTTTATAAATTCAGCTTTCTTGTGCTCTCATCATATTAGCCAAACACTGCAGCTGGAAGTCTCTAAGACAATACGCTTTAAGTAGCCTCTATTTACAGTGTTTCACATGAAAAGAACAAAACCAGATTGACAGAGACTGTTCCAAAGCAGTCTTATGATGTCTCTTTCTCTAGAGTATTGGTTTTGAAAATTAAGATTATTCGGGGGTAGGGGTTTCTATCCATGGCAACTTACAATACCCGTACACGGCATTCTGACTTCAGAAAAGTGACAAAATAAAAATATTATTTTTATGTATTTCACTTCAGCATGTTGGCTGTTCCTTCTGAGAGCACAGATCAGCAGCTGAGCCATAAATCTTAACAGTCAAACCACACTTCATTTCACTCTAACCCAGAAGGCAAACATGTGTTCCTTTCATGCGCTTCTGCTGTATTTTTTTAATTGGTTGAGTTTCATGGAGAGAGAGGATGGAAGTGTGTGATGGCTGAGGACTTACTCTCAGAAAGTGATGGAAGCTCTGGAATTCGGGGACAGTCCTCCTCTGGCTCTTTCCTAAAATATTTCTCAGGGTCTAGAAGAAAAGCCGGTGTATTCACTTCAGGCAGCTCTTTCAGGGCTCCGATGCTCAATGACCTAAATGCACCTTCACAGCATCACGTTATAGGGGAGGATAGAAAAAAAGTACAATATCATTAATTCCTCGGAAGGAGATAACACATTTCCAAGTCTACTTTTTCTTCTTTTTTTAATTTAACCTTCCTGTTAGTCAGCTGGTACAGCTGCAATGCAGTGATCAGCAAACCCCATAAACACAGCTGTTCACAATAAACCCACGGTCCTTTCATTCAAAAGGACCAAATGGAACTCAAGGCTTCCCATTCATTTATTTTTTATTTTGTATTCTTTTGCCGTTTTCCCTTGAAAATGAGTATTCTGCAGTTTTGGAAAAGCTCCAGTTTCTCTTTTATCTAGAAGGAAATTATATCTTTTGTAACATAAAATCTATTTTTTAAGCAGTTAATTTAACAACATATCTAAATGTTTGATTTTGCAGGTACTTTTTCATTTTGCTAAAATGTAAACCAGAGCTGTGTTATTGTATTTATAATGCACAAAATGAGATGGAAAGAAGAGGTCTTTTAATCATGCCCTTAAAAACAAAGTGTTGGACAAAGTGAAAACATTTTCTTTTTGCTTCATGGGGTAAATGGATAATAGAATGGAAGTCTAGAAAAGCTAAATTCAAGAAGTAATTTTATGTTTGTTTGATTGTTACCTCTGTGGAGGTAGAAACTGTGCTTTTGTCATTATGATGGCTCAGTATCTAGGAAAAGAAAACATTCATACTGAGCACCTGCTATGGGAAAAGTTGGTGGTTCTCAAACTTTACATTGCCTCAGAATCAACTGGAGGGCTTGTTAAAGCATAAACTACTATGCACCACTCCATTCCCTCTTCAGTAGGGTGAAGATGGGACCTCAAAATTTACATTTCTAAGTTTCATGTGACGCTGATGCTTTTAAGACAAGGAACATAGTTTGAGAAACAATTCGTTATGTCAAACCAAAGGAGAAATCTTCATAACCTGTAAAGTATCATTATGCCCTTCTGACAGATGAGGAATTAGAGGAGGGGATCAAGATGCTTTAATAACGTGCCTGAATTTACATAGCTAGTAAACACCAGACCATGGCCTTAAGCTCAAGTATGTTTCAAAACAAAGATTATGCTCTGAAGTATTATAACAATAATAATAATATTACTAAGAAAATCATTTTGAGTTTTTATAGTATGCCAGATACTGTTCTAAGTGCTATGCATGTAATATCTCTTGTAATCCTGACAAAAGTCCTATGGAATAGATCAAGTTTATAAATGTACATTGAATATTAACAAATAATGATGTACCTTTTTGCAGCAAAATTTCAACACAAATTCTAAAATTAACATTTTAGAATTAAAATAACATATAGCTCTATAAAAGTAAAGCTGCTGCTTGGATATAAGTTAAAAAAAGATTTGTAAAGAGTGAAATAGTTTCATTATGTGATGGAGCTTCAGGAATGATTTTCACTACACTTCCAAATAATACACTTCAGTACGGTAATGATTCTTTTTTTTCAATTTCTTTTTTTTGTAATTCGTTTTCTAGTCAGCTAATAACTAAACTAATATATCATTCTATGTGGTTTTGGGCTTCCTGAAAGCAAAAGTAGTTTTTATTTATTTTCATCTCTTAAATATTTAGAGGAAAGAATTAACATTCTGTGCCAACTCTATTTAGGGAACTATAGTGGGCACCTTACATGCTTTTTCTGGCTTAGACCTTATACTTCTGCCATTTGTATGCTGTGCAGCCTTGGACAAGTCGCTCAATGTCTTTGAGCTTCATTGTCCTCTTTTGTCAAGTGGAGATCACAGGACCTCCTTACCTTTATCAAGTTCATCATGGAATACCAACATTCCTGATACACATTTGTCTTGTTCATACCAATCTATAAAATAATAACATTATAAGACTATATCAAAAGTGATTACTTACTGGATGATTTTTGTATAACTTCACCATTGTAAAGGCTATGTGTTTTTTTCTTATAGATATTTCTTTCCTTATATTGTATACCTAAATTTATGAGCTCTGATGGCCTGATGCTGGAAGAAAATAATTCATGATGAAATAAAATATAAACCACAAAGGATGAACAGATATTTTATGGCTATAAATACTTATCTTACTTTGACAAAAAAAAACAAACAAACAAAAACAAAAAACTATCCTGTGAACCTAAGTGGTGATATTTGTTTATACCAATTAAGCCAAATCTTTGAATAACATGCCTGCTAGCCAGGTGATGATATAAAAAGGTAGACTGAGAGGCTAATTAAAGTAAAGAGCCTGTCTTCGTAACAACTAGCAGGTCAGAGAAAAAGCTTTAAGAAGAAAATTTCATAGAAACACACACTAATCTTGCCTTGTGTGCAAATTATATGAGATAAGCAGGTGCATGTGTCAAAACTCCTTTATCCAATATTAGGCCTGGATCTTCACTTATGGTATCCAAAATACAGAAAAATTTAGTATCTTTAAGTCTTATTATATAAATCTACACGAAAATTTTAGATTAGCTTGAAACCAATGAAAAAGTTTTTATCAATGAAGTATAGAGAGTGAAATCATTATATAGTTGTATATAATTCCAGTCAGAAAACAGAAAATCTTCTCAAATATATTTAACACCCACTGTCATAGACCACAACCTTAACAGCTACAAGTTGTATTGCCAAAAATCTGACTTCTTAGCATCTTCTGGCCTACAACAATTTCTAAGGCTTTCATTGTTTTTCATAACCTTATAAGTTTCAAAGACTTGTCAGATTTTTTGTGGAATGTCCCTCAGTTTGAACGAGAACTTGGTGTTGGATACAGGAAGGGCAGAGTATCATGCAGTTAGGCCTTAAAGTTATTAGAAAAAAGAATTTTTTTCCCCCAGAAAAGTACTGTTGGAATAAACTGAGGTGCAAAAGGTTGAGTGAGACCTAGAAATAGTGAGGTCTATTTTAGATTAGTTAACACTAAACTTTGATTTTTTTGCAAACACCCTGAATTCTTTCCTGCTTTTATACCATTTGCTTTCTGGCTCTCTCATCAGTGGTATTTAAATAATTTTTTTTTTTTTTTCCGTATAAGACACAAGACTTTGCCTATCTCCACTAAAGAGTTTAATCTTTAGAGGGAAGTAGGATGAAGGTAGAAGAGAATCTTATGGGAATTGCTTCAAATTGTGCTACTTAGATGACTGCCTAGAAAATAAAGCTATATTGATAAAGCTCCAAGACAAAAGGCAGTTCTATGAACAACTAGACTATAGATTTAACTTCATATTCAAAGGCCAACGTATTGCTCCTTTCCACAGACATCTGATATTTGGGGGAATGGTTACTATAAAAAAATGTACAAGAAGCTAGAAAGAGATGAATATTCTTAAAATTCCAATGTGCTTAATGGATGAAGACAAAGAAGCAGAAGAATGTAATAAAAGGCTTAGATAGAGTTTGAAACTTTTTGCAAAAATGTCTTACATGGTGATACAGGAAAAGGGATCTACTATGGGCTCTGGTAAACTTGCCATTAATTATACGAGAAGGAAGGCTCTAACTGACCTCTCATCTCTCGGTTCTGGGTGTAGAAGGGAGGAAAGATGCATGACACATCGCCTAGTGCCCAACTAGGCATTAACAGAAAGTGCAAGTGACTAGAGTAGTGGCTTGCACATAGCAGATACTTGGCAAAAGTGATCACTTGACTAAGAAACCAATAACTTTTCAATATTGCTGTGATGCTTATTGGACAGACAGTATAGATTAATGGCAAAGTGTACTGACTTTGGAGCCAGAATGCCTGCTGTGGGATCCCTGGTTCACCTCTTGCTGGTTGGTTGGTACTGGGCAAATCGTTTAACTTTTTTGTGACTTGCTTTTCTAATCGTGAAATAGGGATCATAACTGCAGCTCTTTCTGAGGATTACAGTGACAATTGATGAGTTAAACACAAAAGACCTTAGAACATTGCCTGGAATATGGTAAGAGCTCAGTGAGTATTGGTTACCGTTACTTTAAACATTGATAGTACAATATTTTCTACTCAAAGCAGGGAGTTCCAACACTCCCTACAGCCAGTTCTAATACTCATGGTAACTATCAGATGATAAGACAAAAAGTAAGGCGATGTGGCATTTACAAAAATAAAAATTTGCTGTAGTAGTATTTTTATGACTTAACTTTCAAAAATGAGTAGACTTTAATTTGCTTTCATTTGTCATACATAGGCATAGGATAGTTACCGCCACATATTGTTGGTGAAAGTAGACTGGTAATCTTCCAAGTGTCTTGTGTCATATAAGGCCTGATTTAAAATGAAATTTTATGTTTTGTGTATTTTTTCTTATAGTTGTCCAAAATTTTCCAATTTAATTTCTCATGTAAGATCTACTGGCAGAATAATTAATCAATAACATTTAATAATATTAAATATCAGTTCCCTCATAGCAATAATATACAGTTTAGAACATTGTAATTATTTCACGTATATAAAATACATCGATTTTAAGTGGGCTTTCTGCCTTATATAAACTCACTGAGAAATTAATAGAAATTTCTGTTTTAATTCCCATCTGATTTTTTTATTCTGGTTTCTAATAATTAAGCCTTTTCACATAAGCATTTTTTTTTTTTAATGTAACCAAAGGAAAATGTGTCAGATAATAGCAGGCAGAGAAGACTTGTTCTTTGTTGCCCTAGAATAAGAATCAATAAGAGAGACTCCTACAAAAGATAGATTTGACTTAACATTAGAACCATTCTATAGTAAAGAGTAGTTCAATAACAAAGATCACTATCTGTATAATGGTGAGTGCATCCCACAGCAATTATTCAAGAAGAGGCTGGGATGTACTTCTCTTAAAGATACCACAGGAGTTAGTTTAGTAGACTTCTAATACCTCTCTCAACTTCATTATTGAATTATTAAAAGTTAATAAACTTGAAAAAATGTTCACACTCACAAATAAAACAATGCAATTTAAAACAATAGTGAAATATCACGATAACAGTTTCAAGACAATGACAACATCCAGTGTTGGTTCAGAGGCAGCCATTTTCACACATACTGGAGGGAGAACCCACGTGTTGGGACTGGGATTTGGCAAGATGACCTAATTGCTTTTAAACTTTTGATTCAGCAGCTCCACTTCAAAGAATTTGTTGAACTCAGGTACACATAAAGGGATTTAAATAAATATTTTTCCAATTAAAATTTGTAACAGTCTAAATGTTTGAAAACAAGAGAATGGTTGAAATGCTACATGATATATTCCTAGGGAGTCATTACAAATGTTGCTGTCTGTGGACACTCATATTAATAATACAGAAATGAACTTGCTTTATATTTTTGAATGATAAATAGGTTATAAATTATGCATACTAAGTCATTTTTATAAATTGTCCATGTATTTATTTGCATAAGTATGCCCAGAACAAGCTTGGAGAGTGAAATTTCTAAGTGTTAGCAATGGTTTTGCTACAGGTGATTTCTTCTGATCTTTTTCTTTTTGCTTATTTGTACTTTCCCTAATGAATATGTATTATTTTTGCAATGAAGTAATATTCTAAGGTTATATTTTCTAAATTATTTTAATCTATTTTTCTAGATTAGAATAATTTGCTTAAATCCAGAAACCGAATATTCCCCCATAAAGAAAAATGTATGTCCACTGCAGTTTTTGCTGCCTATTTTATCCTTTTCTCTCTTTCTTTTTTTTTTTTTTCATTTTCTAATGGTAATATGATTTTTGCAGAACTTAAGGAAGGGAAAAATCTATTTCTCTGTATCAATTGTTAACTTAGCATTAGGACTTCCTTATTCTCTTAAACTCTATATTCATCTTAATCTTCCCAGGGCTTAAATTGAAGATGACATTTTACTACCTACCTTCTTCTCAGACATAATATTATAAAATGTCTTAAGCATTATGGGAAATTGGTATTTATGTATAAGCCAGAAGATAATATATGCCGACATTTTTTATCCTGGAAAGAGAATCTTAGGAGTTAAGATGAGAACATAATTTTAAATTATTTAATTTTTCCTCATTTTTCCTGCTTCTTTCATTTTATATTGGATTTTTCTTTTTGCTTCTCCATCTTTTCTTATTGCTTTTCCCAATCATCGAAACATACCCCCGCCCTCATACACTCATACCAAATGTACTTTTCCATTTTTTGTCTAACTTTTTTTACATTTTTATTTTCATATTTTTGCACAAGGACAAGAACTGGCACGATTCTCCTTGGATTTACTAATCTGATTAAGAAAAGGGCACATTCTTCAGAATCATATTTTCTTAGGGAGAAAATGATTTGTAATCTCTTTGGTATTGGATGGAGGCCATGAAGAACATTTTACAGCTGACAATGACATTGCACTTGTATATTTTCCACATAGAATTCCTGGTCATGTTTCTGGGAGAAGAGAGGGGTATACCTGACAAGTCAATTCTGAAGATACATTTTTAACTTTTTTTCTTTCAATTAGTTCGATACTTCCTAAATGGTATTATTCTGTACTATCTCATTACTATAAAACTATTAAAATTATTTCAATCCAGTCATCTGAATTAGATAAAAGCAGAAATTTTAAAGATCATGAGTATTTTTTGATGTATCATTATTTGATAAAATATAGTACGATGGATACAACTTTGCCTCTTACCACTGGAAATTTCTCCCAAAGCCTACAGAAACTTACAACTAAGGTGAGATCACTCTGCTGTACACCTATTTAAAATCTAGCAAAATACAAAGCTCCAGTTTTAAGAGAAAACTATGAATTTAAAAATTTACATATCAGCACAAGTTTTCATAACACAGTGTCATGGAATAATAGAAACTATAATAAAATGAGATAGAAGTCAGGAAAGAAGTAAACAGTTCTAATTTTTAAATCTAGAGAAAGGTAGATTTAAAAAATAATAACTGAGTTTGTCATAAGGAAGGGGAAAATAGTATCATGGCTGAAATACTCCTAAATAGGAATCTGTAACACTTGTCTTCACTATTTTATGAGTGTGACAGACAGAGGAACAATGATCTATCTGTGTTATCCTGTGGTAACTTTATTTCCTGATCTATAAAAATTGAGTTGGGTAGCTGGGTGGGGGCATTTTATCATATCAGAAGTCTTTCCTTTCTCAGCATTCTACTATTGTACAGGATTGGTCATGCTATCTTTCTAAATTGAAGAGATCATTCTGCCTGAAAGTAAAATGCCACTTGACATTTCAGCAAGCCATAATTCAAGGAAATGGAAGAACAAATACCAAAGCGTAATTTAGTGTAACAGGATGTTTAAAGGGGACTTTTTTCTTCTATGTCCCTGTCAACAGAGGTCCAAAAGGTCTGAAAGCAAAATAATTAAGAGGTAAAAAGTATTTCCATATTCTAAAGTGAGGTATCTCTAAAACCAACCTGGTCACACCTAGGCCAACCACCATTCTGGGATGTACACAGACCAAAGATGTGATAACATGAGAGAGGAGAGGAGAGAGTTGTTGGCGTGTGCTGAGTCCCACTCTCATGAGAGAGAAGGGAAGCTTCCCCTGCAGTTCTAGCCTCCATTCACATAGATCAAAGAATTTAATGTTCGTTGCCTGGGGAAATCATTAGAGGAACAAAGTAGACCAGTGATTTATTGATACCTGAAAAAGTCTGCAGGCAAAAAGCTGTGGCCAGAGCCACCCAAGTAAGTTAAGGGAAAGGAGGGAACCAGAGAGCAATAGACGTGGCAAGGATGAGTGAGCTTCCTATTGACCAAGCAGAAGTTATTTCATGTGGACTTATGCAAGAGGGGAGGCCTGCCAATGCAAGGGGACTGCATCAGAAAAACACTGTGATGTGTATTTCCAAAGGTAACCCCAGATAATGGGGTTGAGCCACAGGAGATTGACCAAAGAGTGTATTAATTTGAAAATGTACAATGCAGAAGTCCCTGAGTGAAGTTATCAAAGAACCTTCAACTGCATCCACTTAATGTTAACTATGGACTTTATACTAAATAATAAAGTATCAAAATTGGTTCATAAATTGTAACAAACACACCACACTAATGCAAGACACTGGGTGGAGTGTAATGGGGTATATAGAACTCTATATTTTCTGCGCAATTTTTCTATAAACCTAAAAAAATGTAATAGATGCACATGGTAAAAAAAAAAAAGTGCCTGAGTATCAAAGAATATACAATGAATAAAACCATCCTCTCAAAAAAATAATACTTATTTAGCATGAAAGGTAAAATGAAGAGAGAATGGATTGGCAAGAATAAAGGAAACAAAAGAAATAACTAAAACTGCCTGGAATTAGAGAGAAAGAGGAATGTAAGAATGAGATCTAGCAGAGTGGTACGAAGAGAAAAAATGGCTTAACAACATGTAGGAAAGGCAAGAAGCATTAAAATGAGAGTCATGTCTAAGATTCAAAGTTAAGCTATTTGAACTTGTCAACTTACTGTATACCCTACCAAAACTGGGAGTAAAATCTGACATACATTCTGAGATAGATACATTCATGTATGTACACACACACACACACACACACAGATATCATTTCTGAGGAAAAGGGCTAATTTCCACAATTAGGTTGATGATGGAGCAGAAACAAAGGACTAGAAGACACAAATAGAAATCTAGAATTAAATGGAGGCAAGAAATAAGAACCAGCTATAACACTAAGAGTATAAATTCTCCTCCTGCCACACACACGCCCCTACCAAGCACCAACATTTTAGAGGAATCTTGAGGTAGTCATCGGACACCCCACGGAGCACAGAAGGGACTTTGGGCCAAGCTTACCTAGGTCTTCTCTAGACACCAATTGACATCTGGGTAACACTTAAAATTACTTACTTGCATATTGACTCGTCTTTGTTTTTTTTATCAAGTAGAGAAAGTTCTGTTGGCTCTAAACATGATTCCTCATTAGAAAGTAAAGGGATTTCCCTTATGGTTTCTTCTCGAATCTCACTTCCTATTACATTAGTATCCTTTTTAGAAAGGGGAAAAAAGCTTTCAATTTGCCAATGCTTTGCCTGTAAAAACAAAGAGATTTATTTTATTTTTATAAAATATATTTTTCTTGAACATTTATATGCTATACTACTAATTAAAGTCCTAGGAACACATACACACACAAGAATAAGAAATGGTTCCTGTTCTCAGTAAACTCACAGCCTTGTAAGAGAGATAAGATATACATGTAACTTTAATAACGGTAGAAAGTGATATGTAATGAGAAACAAATGAAAATTCTCTGAAAAATAATGAACTACAAAAAAGTGACATTCCTACTTTAAAATCCTGAATAGCAAAATGCAAAATTTATTAATAATAGCAAAATTTACTAAAAAAAAAGTTTTTTGTTGAATTATCAGTTAATTTTTTATACTACTTTTTTATGTATTTCCTAAAAATATCTCAAAAGCCAGTCCAATTATTGAGCATTTCTTCCCAGAAAATATGAGTTATATAGTAGTTTTTCATAGATCTTAGCTATAGTTCTTAATATGTATCCATTTAACAAAAGTTCCCAATGACAATCTATTTTATATTTTAAATACAGAACCGATTTCTTTGTCTTTTTCATAAATTAAATTCATATCGAATACACAGAAATGCACCAGAGAATACAGCTGTGTGATGTGAGGGTAACATTAGGTACCCCAGGATATCTGACTGACCTACAAATTGATAACCTTGTCAGAAGGGTTTGAAAAGTAAAATGCCTACAGGGACCAGGAAGATAATGTCAATGAATGAATCAAGGTTTATATAAAATGATAAATAACAGATGAAATTCAGCCTCAGTGTCCATCGACAATAGGGAAAAGCAGGGACTGCACTGAATGAAAGAGAACCCATTTTACAGGTGACCTCAGGAAATGACATATGTTCTTTTTAAAGAGAAGCAAGAAATCTGGATCTTATATGAAATCATTTAACGTTTAAATATGAGCGACTAAATAAAGTGTCAAACACTGAGTGAATAGGCACAAAGTCACTGGCCCCAAATAAGGAGGAGAAGTGCCAGTACACAAATACTGCACAATTCCACTGTGGTGAGTGCTTAAAGAGGGGCACTGAAGAAATGCACACACCATCTAAGTTCTTTTTATACTGCGATCATCTGACAGTTTCCTGGGATAAATGTATCTCTGTGATTAAATCATCTCCACTCCTATTTCGCCAGCTCTAGAAATAGACATACCGCACAACTTACTTTTAAAAATCTAACTTGAAAAGCAACCTCAGATCAATAGCTATGTTGTAAAAGTGATTCGCAGTTATTAAAAAAAAAAACTTCTTTCATGAAATATATATAATCGCATTGCATTAAATTTTAAATACTTTAATCAGACTGTAGGTGACTGGAAAATTAAGTCTTAATGTAGGAAATTAAAATATATTAATGCTTTCCTCCTGTTTTTAAAGCTGCTAGACCAGAATTAATTCAACTAGAAGACAAATGCCTCAATCAAATGTAGGGCAAAAGTCACTACACTTTACAAATCAAATTTGTTCAGTAAAAATTGTTTGGATCCTAATTGGCTTTCTTCTAATCTATGTATTTCCATCTGCCTCCCAAATCTTGCTGTAAAAGGGTGCCTCTTCTTACTATAAGCAGGACAGTGTCTGATAAGTTTTCCTCTTCCCATCTTCATGCCTCTCTTAACCCTTTCCTCCCTCTCTTCCCCTTTCCTCCTCCCTCTTCTCTGTGGCACTTGGGACTAGCAGCACCCATATTCAAGACAGCTTGATAAAAATGTCCTTAAAAAAACTTTAAAAGCTTAAGCATACGGGATGAGAAAACACAGCTGTCCCAGATTTACCAGACTTTACTTTCTAAAACTACACCAGCTCTGGTGGCTCTTTTTCTGTCTTCAACAGCAGGAAAAAAAAATTTTTTGCAGGCTTTTGTGGACTGAAGTCCTTTAAAATACAAAGGACTTCATAAAACAACTAAGGAAAAATATCAAAGGCATAACAATGAGTAGTTTTATCAGCACATACTTCTTAATTAAAATAAAATTCAGATATAGGCTGTGTTTAGTGGACAAAGTTTTTATGACACCCACATCTAGAACAGTCTTATTTTTGCTTTGACCCCATCCATGGACCTCCTTATACTCCAGAGGTCACCCACTTGATGACGCTTTGTTCACCTGTCATTCTAACCTCCACCTCACGTAGGCTGAGCCCTCGTAGCCTGGTCCTTTAGCAATGTTAGCATTGCATTAACTTCTCCACTGCCCCAAATAGTATTCCAGGTGCTTTCATGTTCAGAATACCAGCATGCCCTACTCTGTCTCACTCACTACACCCCTGCTCTCACACCCATTTGACTTCCCACTCAGATGCTGTTTTTCCTAAGAAAAGTCTATCACTTGTCTCATTTACAGAGCAGAAGAGACTGTACAGCTTGAATGTTACATTGTGATTCCTATATTAGCCAGCCAAACGTGGGTCTACCTCCCCAGATTATTTTCTGATTTGCCATCACCCTCCATGTCCTAAAATGTTGTACAGAATTCTTTCAGCACAAGTTGACATCATCAAAGCGACTTCACAAATAGAGCAACAACAGACTTTGTCTTCCAATGTTTAGAGAATTGCCATACTCTCACAGCATGAGAGCAGCAAGCTGAGGTTGCTGGGTGGAACCAAGTCAACCAGCCAGACAGAGAAATTGAGGTTTTAGTGTAACCTCACACCACCATGTTTGAACAGTACTGGTTGAAACAAATCAAACCAATAGTTTGTTTTCAAAGCACATAGAGAATGGGAGCAGAGCTCCCAAGCAAAGAAACAGAAAAAAAAAAATTATAGAAGCATGAGACAATGAATAGTTCCTTTCTTTTATACCTCCAGTTCCATTATTTTTTTCCCCACTAGCAGGTATAAATCAGAGCTTAGATTCAAAGGAGGAGCGAGTTAAAAGCATGAGCTCTGAAATAAGCCAGCTTGAGTTAAAAGCAACACTCTACTAGTTATTGACTTTTGTGAGCTCAGGCAATTTATTCAAACTCTTTGTGCCTCCGTGTCTTCATCTGTAAAATAGGAATAATGAGAGTTCTTTCATTACGTGATGAGCAATTGTGAAGATGACATGAGATAAGTCACATAGAGACCTTAGATGGTGCCCCAAGCATACAGGAAGCACTTAGCAAATGTTAGCTATTATTATTTTCAGAGGAGTAAACCAGACGAACTGGAAGGTTTGTTTTTTCTAAAATTTTCTATTTTATTTTTACCTTGATTATTACCTGACACTCACAGCCACCATTCTCTTTAATAATGGCATAACAGATGATTTTATCCACATGTATTTTTACTAAAATTTAAAATTGAAGGTATTCACTTATTTTAGAGGAGAAATCTTTCTCAGAAGTCCTGGAATAGGTTGAGCGGCACAGAGCCATCATGTTTCCCTGTCTCTGGTGTCTTCCAATTGATGGAACTGCCACAGCTAATGGTAAACAGGACAAGAGATGCCTGGAGCTACAGCTCTAGAAATGAAAGTCAGTTCTTTCATGACTGATGAACATCAACAGCCAATGAGATTCAAATGAAAATCACCCCAAGTTTCTACTAAATGTCAAGTAAATCCTAGAATAATAAGGAAACAATATTTCTACCTGACCAAAGATCCAGACAGGAGAACCGCAGGCATCAGTCACACAAACACTGCAGTCTGCAGAGGAGGAGATAATCAGTGAATGGCCACTCAGCTCACAGATCTCTAAAGAAGTTATCTGGTCTTCATGAGGTTGGAATGATCTTATCAGAGTTGGGGCCTGTGTGATTTTGCTTTTACTGGAATTAAGACAGTACTCCTGAATGAAAAGAAATGCCAGAATTCTAAAAAGTCCAAATATTTAATTATGCAATGACATGACACTTTTAAAAAAAAAGTCTGATGTGGAAATGAAAAAAAGCTACATTTTGGAACAACAATCTATAACCCAAATGCAAAAGAATAATTCATGATAACAGGTGGTATTAATATTAAAAAAAAAAAAAGGTTTCTAGCTGATTTGACTAATTTGAGAAATGGAAAGAAAGGAAGTGGGGGGAAGGTGGAAAGTAAAAATGGAACAGTAAAGTCACTTATTTGATAGAGGTGAACTTTATCATGCAGAGGTAGTCACATATTATACAATTTTATAATATTAGAAAGTCAAGGTAATCAATGACACAAAGATCCTAAACTAACTCAGAATGACAGTAATGTTAGATAAAGGGCCAGTGCTTTACTTAAATTACGTTTATAGTCGTATTTCAAATAAGGTATACTCTAATTATTTAGCTCAAACAATGCTGCAGTACCTCACTGACAATATTGCATTCCTAAATTGGGTGACTGACTTGAATATATATTAACAGATTTTTAATATCAATAAAAATCTGTTTTTCTCCTCAAATTAAAAGAAGTCTCTCCTCAATACATGTAAATGTTTCTTTTAAAATACTCAGACTGAACATTTCTTCTTTTATCTAGAATCAAGACAAGACAGGATAGTTATCTGCAACAAAAGGCAATCAAAAATAAAAAAGGTGATGTGAGAATTTTTTCAATTTACCTCTATATTCCAGATTTTCAACCATCCATCAAGATCTCCTGTGGCAAGGTATCGATTCAATTTATTGGTAGCCATAATAATGGATCCAACTCCACTGTGAGCTAAAAATTCAGCCAGAAGTTGCTTCTTAAATGTATCCCAGAATCTTACATACCCAGATCCTCCACATGACACTAAGTTAGCGCCTCCTAACATGTAAAGGAACACCTAATTAGAACACTGTGACAATAATTACCAGAACCAACTTCCATGGCTTGCCCTGTGAAAAGCATATGTGTGTATAAAGGTGGGTATCCCTCAGATCAATTTCCAGCACTTTAATTCTCTCAAATATAAAATGAGGATAACCCTATGATGACCTCAATGGTTTATGCTGAGTATTAAATGAGGTAGAATCTGTAAGATGTTCTATTCAATTTAGTTCTGTTTCCTTCATGTATTATTTTGATATTATTTTGGTTTTTTAAAGTTAAAATTAGTTTGTTCCTTCAAATAAACATAAAATATTAATTACAACTTTACAATAATATTTTGATTACATAAAACCCATCTTTCTTAATAATCCATTGGACACATATGCCAAAGAAGTAAATTCCCCAGGCACAAGTCTGGATGCATATACGTAGTTATAGCAGCATAATTACTGATTTCTCCATATAGTAGCATGCTTAAAATTCTATTTACGAATTTATTTGAAAAATTTTCATCAAGAATGTATTGTAAACTCTTATGGGACACTTTGTTGGTTCACAGGACTAGAACTAACCTTTTCATTTTCCATTTTTATATGCCCTGTAGGAGCACTTTGCCTCAATTATTCTGCTGTGGCAAAGTTCCTATTATTGTCTGATAAACCTTTAGATGACATCCAATTTGCTTCACAAATGTAATGCTGATTAACTATCATATCTGTTTAAAGTAGAAATGTTAGCACGTAGCTGCTTCAGTAGAAACAATTTGGGAATCCTGATAACATTAAGAAGAATTAGTCTTGAGGAAACGAGGGCAATTTCAGGATAACAGATCATATCGTTAGATAAGTGAGTTCTAGAAAATAGAAAGTTTAGAATCTAACCATTTCAAAATATATATTCTAAATATTTCACAGTTTCTAAAACTCTGTAGAAATATATTTTTGTCGATTTTTAATGTTTAAACATTTTATATGAAAATCAGACAGATTTTTCAACTGAAAATTGAATATGGAAAAGTAAATATGGAAAACATGGTTAAAATATGTTTCTTTTCTTCAAAAATGTAACACGTATATGTCTAGATTCCTAATGTTAAGAAAAAAATACGTTTAAATTACAATTTTTTTAGATGAAAGGTCAAAAATATGCATTACTCCCAAAAAGAGATTTTTATTTTGAGAAAATATGCTGCGTCAACACCATGCTAACATAGCCAGTGAAAACAGAGGGAAAATTACGAAGATTATTTCATCAATATAATACCAAATAACTACAGTAAATCATATGGTAGTACCAGTGTTAGCATATATCTCAGCAGAAGCTCTAACCAGGACATTGATATATTCTGGAAAGTATGCACAGCTGGTAAAGAACCCCAAAGCATCTCCACTCCCCCAAAAATAAATTATGACAAAGAGTGGGCAGCTCTCTTGCACTGGGATCAGCAGTTATTTAAAATTTTGCCCCCAATCTCCAGGTTTCTCAGTATTTCCTTCTAGCTCATTTTGACCAGGTGTCAGTGCAGTCAGTCTTGGACTGCACTCTTCTGCCTCATGTAGACCTAGTCGTAACACATACATTTGGAGCTTTACTGTGGCCTGCCAACCCCGCTTATGTCATGGCTGGAACACCAATTCTGATTGTTGCCCTTATTAAGCAATTTGTCAGTCTCTCTCACTCTGATCCTGACATGTGCAGTAGTGCATAAATTTCTGGCAGCATCTAGTCTGGCTCCTGTTCTTGGACCCATCGTCCTGAACTCTAATGTCATTTACTGTGGCCTGTGACTCAGTACTGACGATTAACCAGATGCAGTTGAACTCTATAAGACTTAGGTAGGATTAGATTAAATCTCTTTTCCAACATTTGCTCCTTATTTCCAACATTTTACAATATATCAAAGCAGTCTACAGTCAAAATTTAAATACATAGTTTACCTGTTGCTGCAATGTGTTTTCTTGCTTCAAGGAAGCAAAGCCTCATGACAGCATTATTGTACTTGGTGTCAGTCTCAAAGGAACAAGCTCCCAGAGTAGCCTGATCTGGGTGGCTTAAGCAGCTCCTCCCACAACCAAGAAGCTTTTGAGGCACTGTATCTGTCATGGAGACAAAGCCAGGTGTGTTAATGAAGAGAAATATCTGCTCCTCAAATAAATGCTTATGAAAAATAACAGGCCCACCTTCATCAGGGTCTCAGAATAGGTCTCCAGTCAACATCATGGAGCCTTCTGATATTCACTTCCTCAACCCCAACCCAAAGGGTTGTTTGATTCCCTTTTTATTTGCATATTCCATACATGCTTACTGTGTTTTACCCTTGATATGAATTAATAGGGACTTCACTCTGTAGTCACTGTTAACATCTTAGAGGTCTTGATATGTTCAAGACAAATATGATTCTATTATCTTGGCATTTTCAGCTTATTAATCATCAACAGTAATCTTACAAATAATTTAATAAACCTGAGCTATAATAACTACTTAAATATATTTAAATGATCATTTTTTAGCAATATTATTTGTTGCTGAGTTACCTTGGAGAGGACATTCCTAATGATATTTTGATTGTCTCGTGACATCATCTCCAGGCCACGCTAATAAAAACTGGGGATATTCATCTTAGAATCTATTAATAATCTGCACATGGTTATGAAAAGTCTATACAGAAGGATCTTTGAATTTTTAAAGCAAGACATCTATAGCAAAGCTTATCATGTCTTTTAGAAATTCTATATTATCTGTTTTTCTTTCTTATCTATCTCTGTTTTTAATCATAGCCACAGTCTGTAAGAGCAAGAGGCACTCTCTTGAGGAGCAATGTAGAGGAAGAGGCAGAATTCATCCTTTCCATGGACAGTTCAGTGAACTCTAATGGTTAGCTCCTTGTACATAAAGCAGGTCAGAGTTTTGTGCCTGCAGACAAGTAAGTACTAAATCTCTTTAGTTTCCTTACTCTTATCAAATCAGTCCTTCAACTTTTCACATACACACAAAAAATGCTGTTATCTAATGACCAGTCTTTTCCTAAGGTCCAATTTAGCCTCTGAGTTTATCCATTTGAGACAACAGAACCTTGCTGGGCCATGAGGAATGCCATATTCATTACCCAAATAAATTAGT